GAAAAACCGAGCATAGATATGGTGGGCTTGGTGGAGATGGTGGTGCCAGACATTACAATGTCAGGCATACTGAGTTCCGCCTTTCTAGAGAAAATGCAGGCTTGAGTTTTGGTGGCGTTGAATTCAACTAGGTTGTCTGTTCCCCAGGCTGTGAATTCAGCAAGATCTTCATTGACAGCATTGACCTGCCCGCGCCGTGAGTTCTTAGTTTCCTGGGAAGAAATGGGAATACTGGAAGAGAACGCAGTATGGAGGGTACTATCATCTGCAAAGCTGTGGATGGGGCAAGTTGTTACTCCCAACAGATCATTGATATGAAGAAGATATGAATGATGTGAATGAATCAATAATTCTGCCGACATATTTTGTTAATAATATATCTGGGTCTGGATTGGAAACTGTAATTGTTGTGTCAATCAGTTAGAAATTCAGGCAAATAACACGGATAGTTGGCGTCCTAGGACTGAATGAGGTGGGATTTGTGATAATGTGAATTAGCCTCTATAAATGTATCCTAGAAACATCGTGGAGTCTGTGTACCTACTGGGCATTTGAAAGAAGTCTATTTCTGGACGTACCATGTATGTCCATCAATGGACCTCACCAAAAAGTCCAAGAAACGTCTAGAACATTCAGATAATAATTTCCTTGAAATGTACGTCCATGCTATTTGGATATCGAGCATACCCTTTTCTCTAGAAGAAAAAATTATAACCCTGTAAATATATATTTTTTTCTTGATGTCTTTGCAGGTGTCGCTGTCGGTCCCGACAATTCCATTGTCGTCGCCGACTCGTCCAATCACCGCGTCCAAGTTTTCGATTGTAATGGCAAGTTCCTGAAGGAGTTCGGCCAATACGGCAACAAGGAAGGAGAGTTTGACTGTTTGGCAGGCGTGGCTGTCAATCGCATCGGACAGTTCATCATCGCCGATAGATACAACCACAGAATACAAGTCAGTAATCTGGTCAACATTGATAACGTCGTGTTCCAAAATATAGCCTGAATTCAAAGTAGAATAACTCACGAATTTCCTCACCAATTTGAAATCGGTTTTCACCGATAATTAGCCTAATCTCTTGACAGTTTGTTGTGGCAATATGAAACTTCTATGATATCAGATACAAATGGGCGTGTACACCTTAGTAGAACTTTTAACTCAAACCATGTTTATAATGATCCTTTTATACATAAATAATGATTGACGACATAATTCGATCGAAAAATTAACTGGAATGTTTTATTTTTGGACATAAATAATAGTACCTTCTAAAAACGGACCCTCTTATGACGTAGAAACCTCATCTCGCCATAGTTAAAAAAAATACCAAACGCCCGACGGAGACTGAGGCAACTGATATATTGATTCTTTCAACTGTGATCTCGCTCTAATTCACTCTGTCAGAAATCATGTATCATTCATCTCTGTCTGGAATAGTCTTGTTTCAGTATTAGGGTTTTGACGTCACATAATCGCCTCGTTTTCAGAGGTCCGAAAAATCGGGGATTTCAATAATTTTCAGAGCTTTGATAATCGTGTTATGAATATTCATTGAAAATGATGCATTTTTTCGACGATTAATTGTATGAAATTGGAAGTTGGAATTCTTTTTCGAAGAAGCAACTTTGTATGTATAGTCGTCGGATATGTGATTGTGTTCGAACAACAGAAAATTCTGAAGAAGGCTATAAGAAGTGATACAAGAAAAACTGAATGATGGAATGGAGAATAACATATAGTCTTCAGTAGATGAAACATAATTTTCTCTGTGTTACTAGTGGAATAATGGAGCGTTACTTCGTCATGAGGATGTCTGGTGTTTGACCTCGAAATGGTTTTGTAATTTGTCGGATCGAAGGTCATATAATGAAAGTACGCACTTTTTATTAATATGATGCATTTTCGTTAGGATGGATTATAAGATTCGAAAAATTACGATTGTAGTTCCAGAAGTATGAAATTTATATTCATTCTTGACGATGAATATACAAGGTGCGATAAAAAATATGTCCAGATTGTCCCGGGATGATGAAGAATATGTTTAAACGTGATGAAAATCGCTATGTTCCGAAAAAAATATATAGTGTCGGTCATTGTCAAAGATCGTGAAATGTATAAATACAGTAACTCTTCATGAGGTTTATACGAGGAAATATGAAAGAAACTGCAGAATGGCCATGGTTTCGATAAAATGTTTTTCATACTAATGAAGATAAATACAGTGAGTCCTCATGAGGCTTATACGAGGTGATATAAAATTGACTGCAGAATTGCCATATATTCGTGCATACTTGTAACCATTGCATCTTATACTGATCTGGCACCTGCAATATGGTTTTCAGAAGGACAATAATTTCCTTATAGTCATTCGACGTAAAGATAAATGGGGACAAAATAATTCCTGGATGTTCATTTCTACATAATCTTTTTCACAGGGTGATTCATAAGGAATTTATAATATCTCACTTGCTGCTTCAAAATTGACGAATTCTGTTGAAAAATAATAGCTTATTGTCTAACTTTTACTCACAATTGTTGCTATTCTGATTTTCTCACGAACAAAATCCTAATTGCACATTGGATTGACTTTCATTCCAATATGTGGAATCTCTTTCATATCACCTCGCATAAGTCTCATGAGGACTTACTGTTTTTAACTCCATCAGTATGAAAAATAATTTACCGAATCTATGGCAATTCTGCAGTCTCTTTCATATTTCCTTGTATAAACCTCATGAAAAGTTACTATATTTATACATTTCACAATTTTCGACAATGACCGACACTATATTTCTTTTAAGGAACATATTCATCACGTTTAAACATATTCTTCATCATCCCGGGACAATCTGCACATATTTTCAATCGCACCTTGTACATCCATCGTCAAGAATACATATAAATTCCATACTTCTGGAACTATACAATCGTAATTTTTCGAAATTTATGATTCATCTTAACGAAAATGCATCATATTGAATGAAAATGCGTACCTTCATTATATGACCTTCGATCCTACAAATTACGAAACCATTTCGAGGTCAGACACCAGACATCCTCATGACGAAGTAACGCTCCATCATTTCACTAGTAACACAGAGAAAATTATGTTTCATCTACTGAAGACTACGTTATTCTCCATTCCATCATTCAGAATTTCTTGTATCACTTTGTATATATAGACTACTTCAAAATTTTTTGTGTTCGAACACGATCACATATTTGACGACTATACATACAAGGTAATTCCAACTTCCAATTTCATTCAATTAATCGTCGAAAAAATGCATCATTTTGAATGAATATTCATAACACGGTTTTCAAACCTCTGAATCCGAAAATTCCGATAACATTTCGAGAGAAAGCATCAATCAAGAGGATACAGGTGGAAAAAAAAATCAAAAAAATTATCTGTTCAAACGGTAAGGTGACGACCACGATGCAATTTTACACACATTCAATTATCACCCTGTAGCAACGTTATCAGAAATCACAGAAGATCCATATTGCCACAACAAACTGCCAAAAGGTTAAGCTAATCATCGGTGGAAACCGATTTCAAATTGGTAGGAAAATTCGTGAGTTATTCTACTTTGAATTCAGGCTATATTTTGGACCACGACGTTATCAATGTTGATCAGTTTATATCTACTCGATAGAACGAATTTGCTAGAGGCCCAGAAGATAGTAATTTTCGTAACAAGTCCAGGAAAAACAGCTTTTTTGAACGAGTAGACAATATTTCAGGACGAGTCGTCAGGCGAGCCCTATAGGAGTCTGCTAGTCCAAAAAAACTGATTAGGGAACTAAAATGGTAATTTCATAGACATGTATAGGATTTTCCAATCATTTTGCTCAAAATAGTGATTGGTACAGGTACCGTTCGATAAAGTACAATATTTTTACTTTCCTTTGGGATATACAGGATACAGTATACCTATAACCCCCTTGCTAGGGTTGTTAGAACATTGCCAAATGAGTTGGGTTTGCTCAGTGAAAAAATGTCGTAACGGCATCCATTTTCATTATACAAGGTGTTGAAAAAATTATTTTCTTACACATTTTTCACGATTATTCCGAAACTACTGGCAACATTGTAATGAAATTTTGTATGGGTGTTTCTTGAAATCTGACACATCGCATAAATTCATTTTTATATCTGAACCTCCAAGAGGGCGCTATAGTTACATGGTTCGTACCGAGTAGTTTTGAAAATAACTTTTTTGGGGTTATATTTTTCAATCCAAATATGATATGAACTTCAACATCATTCAATTTCACACCAAAAAGTTACACCTGGTGAAATTCGATACTATATGTTCCGTTTTCGGAATATTTCGATTCGAAAATAATCGCGTAGTAATGATGTAAGTAGAAAATTGAGAGATATTTGACTAGAAACATGAAATTTTGAATCAGTTAGAGTAAGTGTTCAAAATGTCCTTCGTTTCGAGGAATACACGATTCTATATTCTTTTTTCAAGAATGTATTATTCTTCTGAACAGTTGAGGATCAGCTGATAGGTCATTTAAGTGATGTTCAATTATGTCTCACAACTCTTGACGTGAATTTACCTATGTAGCATAAACTGTCTGCTCAAGATACAACAAAACTGTGTAATCCATGTTCTTAGTCAAATCTGTTTCGATGTTATTCTTGTGATTTATTGTTAAATCAATTAGTTCCGCATCAGAAATGTTTTGTTGTTTTCGGTTTCCAAAAAATAGGTGATATTTTTTTATAATACTTACTCTAATACATAGCTTCATACAAGCAACAGCCACTTCATCATTTTCAAATCGAAATATTCAGAAAACGGAACACAGTATCGAGTTTTACCTTTTTGGTGTGAAATTGAATGATGTTCAAGTTCACATCAAATTCGGATTGAAAAATCTCACTTCAAAAAAGTTATGTTCAAAACAACTCGGTACGAACCGTGTAACTAGCGCCCTTTATGAGAGTCAGATATAAAAACGAATGCATGCGATGTGTCGGATTCTTAGAATTATCCATACAAAATGTCATCACAATGTTGCCAGTAGTTTCAACATAATCGTAAAAAATGTGTAAAAAAATATTGTTTCAACACCTTGTATCTTGAAAACGGATGGCGTTACGACATTTTTTTACAGAGCAAACCCAACTTATTCTGCAATGTTCTACCTACCCTAGCAAGCGGGTTAGGTTCTTTTGGAACACCCTGTATATCATTTCGTTATCAGATGACGGTAGAAATCTGCAACGGGCTCTCCTACTAATACATGCTGATCAAAATAGGAAAAACGTATTTGTGAAGAAAGCTTTGAAAACAACGTCACAATTTTAACAAACAAAATTTTGTCAGTTCAATTTAATTTGAATCTAAAATGTTCACTGTCGCATGCAAAACTGCCATTTCATTTACATTCTCTATTGTTGTACCTTCATCTGGGCTTTAGGAATGAGCCATAATCAGCTGAATATTCCTATATTGAGCAACAGAAAATAATCATTCTAAGCTGGTTATTTTCTCTCTGGATAACGCTGGAGGTATTAGGGTGAATATAATGTGAGCTGGACTAAAATGATGCGAACTGGCTGCTTTCAGCAAAAAACTCATGTTTATATTACATATTGTTTAGCTTGTTTTCCGAGAGGGGCATGTCAGTGCTGCTTTGGATATAGACCATTGCTGAAGCCTTTGAAAATGGCGGAGAGTGAAAAAAAAATTTTAGTAGAATGAAACCCATTGGAGAAGGTAGAGAATATAAAGAAGACTGGGAAAATAAATTACGGGCAATCTGAGGTCAGGAAGTGGAGGGGGTGAGCTTTCAAGGGTAAGAAACGGATTATCCCGAAAAATAACCAAGTTTTTGGTTCATTTTAATCTTTCAAACAAAAATGGTTTCACGATATTTGGTGAAAACTCAACTCGTTCTGTCCCAAACATAACGTAATTTTTTTCCGTGAC